CAGCTTCTACCCGAGTTTCATGTGCAAAAGAACCGAGTGAACGTTTCAGCTATTTTAAAAAAGTAAAAAAAATGATAATATTATAGCAGCTCGAGGGTCCGAAAATACTGGAAAATAACCATCTTGTAAAAAATAAGGTAATTTTCCAACATTAAAATACATTTTCTAGCATTAATTTTAATAGATAATGAGGGTTTAGTGTGAAATTAGCTTTAGATAAATGGTGGCGGGATATAATTTACATATATTTATAAGGATAATTGTATTTTGAATGATCATCAATACTTATATGCTAACAAAAAAGGAATTAATTCAACATTTTTGTAAAATTACAGAACCAGTGCTTATTTTTCTGTTAAGTGTTTCTAATTTTAGAAACATCTTTACAGTATTAAACTAGAATTCAGTAGTTTCATCGATTAAATAGAAAATAAGTCCTGATAAATTTGCGAATATATTTTTAAATCTTTAAAAAATATATATATTTTGTTATTTTAAGTTATTCACAATTAAATTTTCTTGTGTTTGTTTTTTTTAATCAGACGTGTAAATTCACAGCATATTTTTGTTATTTATTGATATTTTTATTTTTTTATTTTTTGCATTTTTTTAATTTGTGTATTTCTAACATGCAGAAAAACAAACAAAAATAAAAAGGAAAAATTCTGTAAAATTACATGTTTTTTGTCGTAGGATATTTTCTTTTTTCTATAACCCAACTTTGGTAATTTAAAATAAAATAATAATAAAATCGTAAACAGAAACAGGTTTCCAGCTTTGCAATGTCAAATCCTCAAACAATAAAAAACTAAAATAATGACGTTTCTGTAGATTTTGGCACAATAATCTCCGATATAGGTTTATGTCAGTTATTATTGTGCTTTAATAGTGTGTGTTCTATCATAGGTTTTTAATTAAATCAGCAAAATTCAGGTGTTTTCTGAAACGGGGTGTGATTTCATAAACGCCTGAAGGCTAATGATTTAAACCTCGTCGTCATTGCTAGCTCGGGTCCAGGCTGACGGAGTGCGTCTGTGTTTTTACAGAACATTTCATTCGTTCTGTTAATCCCCTTGGAAGTGGATTACAAAGTGGACTCCTTGCTGCAGCCTCGCCTCCCTTCCTTTCTCTTCTGGCACTTGTAAAGCGATAATGGAGACAATTAGAGCTCGCTTTATCTTGGCAGCGTGTCGGCCGGGCCTGTTCTGTCAGAACCTGTCAGCGTTCTTACGCCCTCGAGCAGCTCCGTGTCAGTCCGGGGCTGGGCTCCAGACAAGCTGACAGCGGTTAGGATGAGCCGCTCCGACTGTCGGGGAGGGTCTGGATGAAGCGATAGCAGCTGTTGAGGCGTTGGCTTCCTCCTCGCAGGTCTCAGCTTATGTTTCCAGGCACCGTTTGGCCTCAACATCTACGTGTGCTTAATTGGCGGTTCGTGTGGAGGTGTGTGCCGAGATAATGGCTGCATGTGAACTTTGTGTTTTAAGTACAGAATGTGCGCTTGTGAAGGCAGATGGAGCACAAAGGCCGCCTCTGATGACGATTCTTCTATCGATTAATCCGTCAAGTGTTTCACGGATGAGTTGATGAAGCTGAATGGTTTCTGGCACCAAACAAAAAAGATATTCCACACAAGGAAACAAACTGAAGGATAAATATTCAGGTCTGTTGTAGCTCCTATTGACTTATCGTGGTTAAATATATTTGAACTGGGTGCTTCTTTAACTTGGCTCATGGCGTCACCACTACCAAGCCTTGGGAACCAACTCAGAACAATATTCTGCTTTTTGCTCTCACTGCCCATAATTGGCCAAAAATACAATGGAAGTAGTTATAATACAAAGCAAAAGTGTGATTAGGACGTAGAAATAATGTTTCACAGAAATATAAAGCAAAATGACCATTTGACTGATTTGACTGGAGTTTGTCAAAGACATAATGCAGCCGTTTGCAAAAAAACGTGCAAAACTGCAGCATTAAAGCAACTAAAGCATGTTTAAAATCAGACAGAAAGAAGGTTTATTATTATTTAGGTCAGTTGTCCAACTCCAGAAGAAATCCAAGTTTCTTTAACAAAGCGAAAAACTTCCGTCTGCATATGATCACTTTTTTGGGACCAAGTATTTCAAAATAAAAGAAATTAATTGTTTTGTTCTGTTATTGTGACATGAAGCTACATGTGGTTCTAAAAATATCACCAGTTGACTTCTGCTTGAGTTCAAAGATGGAGCGTTTCATGACGGCGTCAATTTTTTGTTTTTTATTTTTAACTCACACAGAATCAGAGACTGTTTTAACTACTGGTCCATTACTGCAGACTGTTAATCAATGGCATGATGAGAAATAATCATAAAAATCTGTTTTTAGAAATATGTTTACAGTATTACACTACAAATAAAAAAGTTTAATGTACTTATATAGAAAGGAAATTTGCAGATTTATTTAGAAAATTCCTTTTTTTAATAAAATATTTTAAAAAAAATTTCAGAAGTAAATTGTTTTTGTGTTATTTTACATTCAAATGCGTGAATTCACTTTTTATTTTTGTGCTTTTATTGATATTTTTGTGTATTTCGTGCAGAATATGCAGGAAAAAAAGTAAAACAAAACAGAATATTTCCATAAAATGACAGATTTTTTTTACAGTGTACAGTCTTCTTCACACATAGCTCCACAGATGTAATGATAAACAACATTAAACAGGACATTAGTCGCTTTATTCCAGCTGTGTACAGCGTATTTTGCAGGTTTTTAGATTTCCCTCAAGCACAGATCTATAATATTGATGTGTTTGTAGGTTTTGTCTTTATATCTGTTGTTTCTGTGCATTCGAGGTGCTTATTCTCCAGTAAGTTTTCAATTAAATCAGCGAAAAGCAGGTCCGTGCAATAACAGTCCCTAAAAACAACCAGAACCTGGGTTCAGAACACACTGTTTTAGTGCGAACTTCGGTGCAATTTGTGGATAATTTTCCCTACGAGTCGTTGCACATCTGTATTTCAACATCCCAGTTGCAGTAAACTCGACCTACAGGCCCCTTTATGTAACTTGGCTGGGCTGCCTGAAAGCTATTTCACACCAGAGTGGGGGAAGAAAGTGCTTTTGAAACTGGAAAAGTCCCTCTTTAGATTACGTCCCATTTGCAATCGTATCAGTAGATTTATCAAGGGGCGTTTAAACCGCAGGGAGGTTTGAAGTAATCTGTTGACGTTTCATCCGCTGCAGCTCCGCAGAACTATGAGAACTCGCGTGTTTGCAGCCCGTCTGGTTGGTCCCAGCGAGCTGTGGTCTTCCACCCGGCTTCCCAGAACCTTTTGTGTAATAAACCGACATTCTTCCGACTTGTCCTCATGCCTCCTAAACTGGGCAGCTCCGGGCTCGCCGGGATGGCATGAGAGGAGCCGGTGAGGTTCTTTACAAGGCTACGGTTGTGGACGCTTCGTGTACACATCCGAATCAGCTGCGGAGGAAATAGTCGTCCGCTTCTGGTCGCGTCTCGATGCGGTGTTCACCACACGGCTGTCTAATGTATATTTAGAGGAGCAAGGACGATTCTGAACGTCCCCGCTTAGTTTGACGTCCTTCTCCTGCCTATTGACGGCCCGTTTTTATTCCACAGCTCTAAATATTTCCCTCAGAGCTAAATTCAAATGAATGTTGGATTTATATTTAGCAGGAGGCGCGAAGCCAAATGAATGTTGCTCCACATCTGCTTGACGTTTAATAAAAGGCCGTATTAACTGCATAATGTGATCATATGCTACTGTTCTGGTTACAGCTTGTTTTCTTTTAGTTTAAATGATAATATGTTCGTGCACAATGTCACATAAATACACTGGTTTGATCCATGACATAACGTGGAAAATAAGGTTGGTTTAATCCTCCGAACTCCAAACACACCAGTGGATTTCAAAAGTACGTTTTATTTTTGAAAATCGCCAAAAATGACACCATTATTCAGAAACTGAAGAAACAGAATCATTGGAATTTTTTAATATTTGTCTCTGATGTGCCGTTTCATCAGGAAAATTAACCAAATCTAAGAATAAAATCAATATATTTCATCAAAATCACTTATTTTGATGAGGAAAAACGTGATAGGAACAAAAAAAATCACCCAAAAAAATCATCTGCTATGTTTAAAACTGATGCAAAAAAACAGAAATAAAAATGTGAGTTTGTTCTTCTTGTTGGCGGATGATGACCTTTTCTGCTTTTGCTCTGCGTGATCTAAAGCTCCTGATGTTTTCTTCTTGTCTGCAGGTTACAACTCCTTCCTACCCTGTGGTTGTCAAGATGGGCCACGCCCACGCCGGCATGGGAAAGGTGAGTTCACTCGTATGACTTTGTGAGACCCGGGCAATTATTTCTGAGTTGCAAACACTGAGATTGCAAAATGAACCACCTGAGTCTGGATGTTTGTGTGTAAACCAGGAATTTAATTTAATTTAATGACGCCCAACAACCTGGATTTGGGGTTAAATTAATTTGAACTGCGTCTTAACCCCAAATCCAGTTGGTTTCTTGGTTAGTGATTAAAACTACATTCTGATATCACAGATGGACAGCAGATGTTCATTTTTTGTTGTGTCAGAATCAGAGCACATAAGACACATTATTTTAAAGGCAACCGCTCTGGTCGGGTCGCAGAAGTCTCAAGAAGTCTCTCAACATGAAGTGCCTGATCAACAGATCTGAAGTTGGAACATCTACGTTCTCACTTTATAAAAAGCTTAAAACTACCTTTAATTTATTTGTTTTTTTCCTCCGTCATTGCCCCTTGACTGTTGTGAAATGCATTTTGGGACACTTGATCGTCCAAAGTCGGCTCCCGGTGCATCCTCAGTGAAAATTGGGGCAAGTGTTTACAACATACAACACTTTGGTCAACCCAAACCTCTTTACCTTAAGCCAGGATCCCTCTGGAGGCCTTTTACCTGAACCAATGGATCCCCGGCTCACACGGGGATTTGTCTCGACTCCAGTCGTGCAAATGTCAACACGATGTTATCGCGGCGGCTATGACTGGTCTGCAGCTTCAGACATGAGGGCCGGAAACCCAAACCCCCATGTGTTCCCATCCGCGCAGGCCTTTGTTGTCTCTCTGTGGGCTACAATCAGCCACACATCGCCGTTATCATCAGTCTGCAAAGGGTGTGATGTGTCTCTGAGTTTACTTTCACTGAGCAGATTGTTCCAAAGGCGGAGCGGCGCTGATAAATCCTGACTCTTACATTTACCCTCAGTGATTGCAGCAGCAGACTGATGTTTATCTCCACTGATTTTTTTCTTTCTTCGGTGTTTGTGATTTAATTATTCGAAGACATTACGGAATTGTCCGTCTCACTCCTCCAGCAGTGATTTAAATGTCTGTGGCCCTCGTCTGTCTGGATGGGCTTGGTTTCCTGTTCGGGAGCCAGACATGCTATAGAATTTCCCATAATGCTAAAGGGGGAACTTGGAGGGAACACGTAGAGCAGGACCTCGTTTAACCCGTCGGACCTCACGGAGCTCCGAGTGGGCAGCAACATGTGGGATTTAGGTCACCGCTGTGTTCTGTTTTTTTGCTTTTGACGGAAACTTGAAATACTTGAGTAAGTGGAGCAAAGAAAGCTAAGAGTGATACGGTAAATGAACCATTAGGATTGGAACCCAACAGTGGTCGTGAATGGTATCCAATGTTTAAAAAAAATCTCCAAAATTACACCATTTATCAGAGCCTGAAAGTTTAAAAACAGAAAAAATCATTGATTTTCCTACTTTCGGGCTGTCCATGAAGTGCTCATCTGTGACATGCCATTCTGTCAGAAGAATGAACCAAATCTAAGCAGAAAACCCTAATATTTAATCAAATTTACTAAATTCAACATGTAAAAAATCAACATGTCATTTGCTCCAACATGATTCTGTAAAAACTACAAAATTCTTCACTCCCCAACACATCCAAATACCATTAAAGAGTAACCAGCAGTCGTGTTACAAAAACTCAAGGACTTTTAAGTTAGATTTGGTTGAACTGCAGGCTGTGTATGCAAAAAACAGAAAACAGGTAAGTGTGGAAAAAGCACATTTTTAAAAATGCAAGAAGTCAAATATCTATAGTATGTGTTGACACCTTTTTTTTCCAGTATTGGTGGCGCTCACGGGCAACTGGATAAATGTTTTATATGTTAGTTCCAGTTTGGTTTGGTTTTTGGTTTTGCTTTTTTGTAGAATAACTAATATTCATATTCAAATCTGGTTTTACTTTTTTAAATGACATTCTAACTGTGTCACATGGCAAAAAATGCATTTCTGAGTTTTCTCTCTTTCTTCATGGTTGTTTTGTTTCCATAGAGGTGCAGGACTTCATATTGCAGTGAAAAGTTAACCTACAGTGTGTAAAAATGTGACAGAAGCAAAATAAAACCATCCAGAAACTGTTCAGAGTTCAAAGGGTTAAGCTAATGGGGACGTAATTATGACGACCTATAATCCTAAAACCAGGAGGGTCATGACTGAATCTGACACTCTGGCACTTAAAGAAACAAAAACAGCAGGAAGGAGAAAGTCATAAGCCCAAACTTCTGTTGACATCTGCTGTCACGACCGTGTCACCATGACAGACTCACATTGTTTTAAATGCAACTGCCAGATGGCATTGAGTGTCAGTAAAGTCTCTGTCATGGTTCCCGTTGCTAGCTAAACTTCCGTAGTGCCCTCTGTTTGCCAACATGAACTGCCTGTAGTCTGAGGGACCATCTAGTTGACAGTATTAAACGATAAGAGGCGCCACCTGGTGGCACAACCAGGAACTGCAGCTGATCGACACGACATGATCTGACATGCATGTAGAGAATACAGGAGTTTTTCGTCAACTCTGAATCGATTCTGTTAATATACTTGAAGTGTGTATTTTCTTGGAAAATGGTGTTGGATTAGTGGTTAGTAGAGGTAAACACTTAATGCTAAATTAATGCTAACCTTGATGGGGACATTCCTAACAAGAAGGCACATTGAGAAACACCCATGGCCTCATTGGTGTTGTTTTGTTTTGTTCCACAGTAGCATCAGCGTGTGTCTGTTTCTGTTGTTATTCAAAATAATCTTTTGTCGTCCTAAGGTGTGACCAAATCATTGGGTAACAAATAAAGTTCCGAGGTCAGTGAACGCGCTAACTAATGCTAACGATACATTGGTGTTGGGGTGGTGATGTTACCTGGATACTGTTTGTGTGTTTACACCTGCGTAGACTTTAAACCTAGCTGCTCATTTTGCCCTTTTCCTCTGATTGTTGACAGCAGCAGCAGCAGCAGCTCTTTACCCAGTTTTCCCATTACGTTCTCTACACCAGCGAGCCTCTGTATTGTCGCTAGTGTGTCATTTTGTCTGAGCCCGGACCAGCATGACGTGACTTTTTCCACCGGGCGCCGTTCTTCCTCGTCCATGCCAGTGTTTCACCTTCTCTGGCTTACCTTCTGCTTCTGTTTGCATCGTTACGGTTGGTTTTGGTTCCTCAGAGGAATTGTGTAATTCTCTGGACGGGTTTTGGTGCTTACAGCTCAGAGCTGGACCTGCTGCTCGCTATCAGGTTCTGCCTCCTGAGCCATGACGTGAACTGTGACTCACATCCCTTCATTCGGTTGACGTTGTTTCTGCTTCTGCCCGTTCGCTGTAAATGGGAAAGGTTCAGTGCTCTTACTTGAAGGCTAGACGCTACCTGAATGCATCCATTCACAATAAGTCTGTAGTGCATCAACATGTCATTCAGTTCCACCCAGACAGTACATTTAAACGAACAAGTCATGTCTCAAAGGTTTATTCCAACCATAATACCATTTTCTGTCCAAGTACTTGTAGGTTTAAAAGTTTATTCAACCCAAATAATACTTCCTTACTAACAAGTTATGGTTTCAAAGGTTTATTCCACCCAAAATGCAGGTTTTTGTCCATGTACATGTAGTTTTAAAGGTTTAGTCCACCCACAATGCCATTTTCTGTTCAAGTACTGATAGTTGAAAACGTTTATTCCACCCAAAATTCCACTTTGTAGCCAAGTTCTTGTTCTTTTAAAGGTTTATTCCGTCCAAAACACTAGTTTTTGTCTTAGCACTTGTAGTCTTAAAAGTCTATTCCACCCAAATAGTGCTTCCTCACTAACAAGTGATGGTTTCAAAGGTTTATTCCACCCAAAATACTAGTTTCTGTCCATGTACTTGCAGTTTTAAAGGTTTATTCCACCCACAATGCTATTTTCTGTCCAAGTACTGGTAGTTTAAAACGTTTATTTCACCCAAAATTCCACTTTGTAGCCAAGTTCTTGTTCTTTTAAAGGTTTATTCCATCCAAAATACTAGTTTTTGTCTTAGCACTTGTAAGCTTAAAAGTTTATTCCACCTAAATAGTGCTTCTTTACTAACAAGTTATGGTTTGATAGGTTTATTTCAACCAAAATACAGTTTTTTGTCCAAGTGTTAGGGTTTATTCTGCCGAAAATACTATTTTCTGTCCAAGTACTTGTAGTTTTAAAAGTTTATTTGACCCAAATAATACTTCCTTACTAACAAGTGATGGTTTCAAACGTTTTTTCCACCCAAAATACTAATCTCTGTCCATGTACTTGTAGTTTTAAAGGTTTATTCCACCCAAAATACAGGTTTCTGTCTCATTACTTGTAGTTTTAAAGGTTTATTCCACCCAAATAGTAGTTTCTGTCCAGGTACTTTTAGTTTTAAAGGTTTAGTCCACCTACAATGCTATTTTCTGTCCAAGTACTGATAGTTTAAAATGTTTATTCCACCCAAAATTCCACTTTGTAGCCAAGCTCTTGTTCTTTTAAAGGTTTATTCGATCCAAAATACTAGTTTTTGTCTTAGCACTTATAGGCTTAAAAGTCTATTCCACCCAAATAGTGCTTCTTTACTAACAAGTTATAGTTTCAAAGGTTTATTCCAACCAAAATACAGGTTTTTGTCCAAGTGTTTGTAGTTTTAAAGGTTTATTCTGCCAAAAATATTGTTTTCTGTCCAATTTCTGCCATTATTAAATCTCAATTCCATCTAAATCGTACTTTCTAACTAGCAAGTTTTGGCTGTAAAGGTTCATTTGCACCAAAATGCTACTTTCTGCCCAAGTACTTAGAATTTAAAGGTTTATTCCGCCTACTTAGTACTTTATAACTCACTAGTTATGGCTTTAAAGGCTCATTTTTGTGCGTCTTATCTAGGAAGCCAACTGAGAGGCTCAATATCTCCAGAAATATAACTCCCATAACCATGACATTTGGTGAAGACACAGATGAAATATATTTATAATTATGTAAATATTGATGAAAGTTTGATGAATGGTTTTGAAATTTAATTCTGGTGAGTCTTAATAATAATAAATTAGTCTTAATAACAATAAATTAGATTATGATTAGAATATCTTCCAAACTTAGAACATTTGCATTCCTGTAAATAGTCGTGTCTGATGTTCCTCATATTCTAATTTCTGATTTAAAATAAAAGCTCATTTGCAGACTGCGTCCCCCCCAAAAAAAAATCTTCACCAGCCGCCACTGCTCTGTCTTCTGGGCTCATTTTTAGAAACTTAACCGATTTAGTCGTGTTTCCACAGGCACACTCATGTTTTCACCCATCAAAGTGACAACGCTGTTTACTGAACCGCATTAACCATCAAAGATACTCGCCCTCCTTTTAAAGATTCAAGCCTACGTTTATTGTTTCGGCGCTATTCTCACTCCTGCTAAGTTTGCCTTTATTTGTTTTCCTACAGTTGGTTCTCTTCTTCTTCTTCGTTTTTCTGGTGAAGGTTGCATCACTTTTAAAAGGGATTTTCTTTGTTCCACCCAGATAATTTGTGTCTTTCTCAGCGGTTTTTTAAGGATTTGTTTGTATGTGAAAGTGCTCCGAAACTGGAATCCTTGTAAACGCGCTGTGAAACTGTTTCCGAAGACCTCACAAACTGTCACATGTTGACGCAAGTGTCTTTTCTTTCCACTGCATCTTCAGAGGGCTCCACAACCTCCTTTATTTGGTCTTTTGAAGCCACATTGCAGAGACACAGACACAATATATCAGCCTGACAGCAACAAACCCAACAGATTCTGCATTGTCTCCATGTTGATGTGGAGGTGAGACGGTGTTTCCATGTGTCTCGTACAAAATCAGACCTTGTGGCACGACTTAGAAATGACATAAAACCTTGTGTGGATCAGTTTTTTTTTTTTTGCATTCTATAATTAAGCGAAGAGCTCAAACCCCAGAGGATGAAACAGGACCTTCTGTTTTTCTTATCTGGTTTGTCTTCGTTCACGATGGCATGTCGCTGTTCCCACCATTTCCTTCTGCGATGATACCAGTGAGAAATATGGCGATGAGTGAGTGGAAAGCTCTGGACAGAATCATTTTGTGCATCTCACACATGGATCGCTGACAGTTGGCCATACATTCAGGCTGTCGATTGATGGGTTTTTGTCTGCTGAGATGCTCCAGTTCCCACGAGCTGATGGAATATGCCTCATAAATCTTTGTATTAACTTGATTAACTCTCAGAACTCGCGGCTGTTTTTTTTTCCTACTGTCATATTTTTGCTCATTGTGGGCTCATCTTCCACTGAAATATAAAGTCCTGCACCTCTGTGGAAACAGAACAACCATGACTAGAAGCAGAGAGGCCTCAAAAATGTATTTTGTGAAGTATAAATAAGTTATGACGCCTTAAATCATAAAAAAAAAAAAAATTGGATTTTTTTAATTTATTTTTTCTAAAAACATAAAAAACTTGAATCAACACATACAACAGTTTTCCAATTGCCCACAGGTGCACTATTTTTTTTTTTTAGCTAAATAAAGACTCTACATACTATAGATATTTTATAACTTTGATTTTTATCTGTTTTTACACTCCCCTATATGTTCTGTATAAACACTGCCTGCAGTTCAACCAAAAAGTTCTTGAATTTTTGTCACGAGTGTTTATCGTAATAGAGTCAATAATAGCTCCCCAGTGCTGCAGAGAAGTGCAGAATTTTTTATTTTTTACAGAATCTGGTTAATGCAAAGGATTTATTCTTGGAGATTTTTATTTTATTTTATTTTTTTAAAAGGCATGTACAATAAAGTGATTTTGAGGAAATATCACGATTTCACAGATGAGTAGTTCAGGGACCAACGGAAAGTTGAAAATCCAACAATTCTCTCTGTTTTAACAGCTTCAGGCTCTGATAAATGCTCACATTTTAGCGATCACACTTGAAATAATGCAGTTTTTCATGAAATATCCAGATTTTAGGCTGCAAGGTGGCGCAGTTGGTAGCACTGTTGCCTCGCAGCAAGAAGGTCGCCGGTTCACATCCCGGTGAGGACACCCGGGATCTTTCTGCGTGGAGTTTGCATGTTCTCCCCGGGTTCTCTCCAGGTTCTCCGGCTTCCTCCCACACAGTCCAAAAACATGTTGAGGTTAATTGGTGATTCTAAATTGTCTGTAGGTGTGAATGTGAGTGTGCTTGGTTGTCTGTCTCTAAGTGTAGCCCTGTGATAGACTGGTGACCTGTCCAGGTGAACCTGCCTTCACCCTGAGTCGGCTGGGATAGACTCCAGCCCCCCATGACCATAGTGAGGATTAAGTGGTGTGTAGATGATGGATGGATGTATGGATAGATGGATATCCAGATTTTAAGCTGTGACTGGGTTAAGTTTTGAACAGACTTCACAAATGAGTAGTTCAAGCACCACTGAAAACAGACAAATCTGCCAATTCTCTCTGTTTGAACAGTTTCTGGCTCTGATAAATGCTCATATTTTAGCGATGATACATGTAAAATAATGCAATTTAGATGAAATATTCAGATTTTAAGCTGTGATTGGGATTAGTTCAAGGACCATGGGGAAGTTGAAAATTTGCCAATTCTCTGCTCTGCTCTGAAAAATGATGTAATTTTGCCGATTGTTTTGAAATAGAACATGCTGTTGAGTTTTGGAGTTCAGAAGGTTAAAACGAACACTAGCTGCAGAAACTTCATACATAGAAAAAGCTAATCAGACGAAAGCTTTTTTAACCAACATGTTTGAATCCAAGATGCGTGTGAGATAGAAGTAAACGAGGGTCTTAAACTCCCACAAATATTCGCCCCTTAAATTGCCACTGAGGGGTAAATATTTGTTTGAGCGTTACGCAGTCACACCTCATTGTTACCTAATTATCTGAAGGCTGCAGCGAAAAACACTTGCTTAAAGTTTATGCGACGGATGTGTTTTGTGTTGCCGGGCTGCCATTGCGTAATTTCCCCTCCGTCTGTAGTCTGCAGTCTAATAACTTCATGGGAGCGAGGTGACGTAGTTCAAAGCCTCCCCTGGAAGTGTTTCCATCCAGGGACCCTTCATTATCCCGGCCTGTGTACAAGTGTGAGATTCCTGTGGGATCCTGAGCGGCCGCTGCCAGCTTTAACGGCATGCTTTGTAATTAGCCGCTCGCTAACAAGTGGCGTCTCTCCCGCAGATTAAAGTCGAAAACCAACAGGACTTCCAGGACATCACCAGCGTGGTGGCTCTGGCCGGGACCTACGCCACCACCGAGCCCTACGTCCAGTCCAAGTACGACATCCGCATCCAGAAGATCGGCAGCAACTACAAGGCCTACATGTAAGACGCCTCAGACCGCCGGGGGCCGACGTTCGGTCGCCTACGAAGTCAAAGAGTGTGTGGAGTTTAACGAGTGCATTTACAGGCTGTTACAGATGCAGGGAAGCTGCCTGTAAAGCTGCTGTTTTGATCCAGTATCTGTTGCTTTTTTAGCCGTTAAGGGGGAAAGAATCAGATACAAACACTAAATAAAACATTGTGAGATGGTGTCCTGTGAGAACATGACCATAAGTACATTGTTTTAGCCTGAATTTAGTGATTGAGACCATAATGGCTCGTTGAAATTAAAGGTTTGCTCAGTATTTATGCAGAGAAGTTGATGCATTTATCATGAGATTCAGTTAAAACAATGGATTTTGTGCACCCAGCATCTAGTGGCCACTACTGGAATTACAGCTGTATGTTACAGTCATGAAGCAGCTTCGTGAATTTGACGGTTTTAGTCGTATGATTTGACAGTGTGGTTAATTAGTTAGCGGGAAAGTCAGGCCACTTATAAAATATCCTGTACAAGGTGACATGAAGCATTGCTGGATGCTTGTATACTTTAGAAGGAAAATATGAAAGATGGTGTTGTGTATTGCTGGCCAGATTGAAAGGCATGTCATCCTCGAAAGAAATGCCCAAATTACACCATTTATCATGTCGACAAACTGTAAAAACAGAAATAATTGAGAGATTTTCACCTCTCTGGCAGCACTCAAGCTCCTCACCTGTAAAGTGCCGTTCTGTCAGGAAACAGTCTCATCTTCGCTTTGTAATATTTCAATAAAATCTCTTTAATCCACAAGTCTCATCTCAAAAACTGCCAAAAACAAACAGCTCATAAACAGATTGCCAGATTCTGGGAAGCCACAAGTGAGTCAGCTGCAACCAACAGTCACATTTATAAAGATTTATGGCGTTACAACTGCGTCAAACTGCTCAGAAGACACGTTCGAGTTCTCCCTGCGTCTAGTCACGGTTGTGCTGTTTCTCTAAAGATGCAGGATTTTATATTGCAATGAAAGATGAGCTCACATTGAGGTAAAATGTGACAGGAAGTTGTCCAGAAACTGCCTGTTGTGTAGGACAGCACATGTGAGTTATAATACCACGTGTAGGGTATTTTATCTAAGTTTCCACGGCCAAAAAGCTGAAAAGTCTCTGAATTTTTGTCACGCGGTCGTTGGTCACAGCTCAGTCACTGATGGCTTCACAGTTGCGTTGACAAAAGCAAAATTTTTATTTCTTCACACAATCTGCTTAATTGAAATTGGTTATGTTTGGCTGATTTTTTCGTCAAAATATGAGGATTTTCAGCTGAGATTTTAGAGCAACATGTCACAGATGAGTAGTTCAAGGACCGTCAGAAAGCTAAAAATCCAACAATTCCTTCTGTCTTTAAAGGTTTTGGTTTTGAAAAATACTGAAATTGTATACCTTTCAAACTCGTCGGTAGGTTTAGATGTTCAGTGGGATGATAAAAATATAGTAGCTTGGTGCCAGTTTATAAATAATGTATTGCAGGAGGAAGCTGTATGACATATTGTTAATTAAATTCACATTTAGCTGAACAAAAACTCCCCTCTTAGACTTCTGCTCCTCTTTTTAGCATCAGCGTCTGCATTTTCATGGCCTTGCTCCTTCTTCAAACACTCATTTGGAGGCCGGAGACGTCGCTCCGTCCAGCATTTAGTAACAAAGAATACGAGCAAACATCCTCTTAATCGTTTTCAGGTTTCTAAATCTAAACAACTGCTCAGCTCGATCTCGTCTCGTTCGGCCGCAGCCTCACCGTGAAGGCATGTTGTTGCTCAAACATGTAGGTGTAGACGGTAACCGATGACCAGACGATAGCTTCTCCTCTGAAGTTTCCCGCTCAGCTGCACATGCAGATGTTGTGAGTGACTTTCACATTGCTTGGAGGCACGTTGATTCATTTCCTCGTGCTTATTTTCTTTTTGTTTTCTAATTGCAGGAGAACGTCTATTTCTGGTAACTGGAAGGCCAACACGGGGTCAGCCATGTTGGAACAGATCGCGATGACCGACAGGTACGTTGAGTCAGAGATTTACTGGGAAAGTGCAGATCTGTTTGTATGATTCACTGCTTCTTTGTGTGTTTTGAACCTTAAAACAAAGCAGCCTTTGGTGAGACAAACACTGACGCACCTTTTGTGTGTAAATCTGAAAGCAAAACTGTTTAAAAAGTTTTATTTAACCCTCTGAACCTCCAAAACCCACCAGCATTTTTAAAAGGCTAGTTGGATTTACCAAAAAATTGCCAAAATTGCACCATTTATCAAGAAATAAACTGTAAAAATGGAGAGAATCATTGGATTTGGAACTTTCTGATGGCTCTTGAACTCATTTTTTAATGTGCCATTCTGTCAGGAAACTTATCAAAATCCAAGCCTCCAATTGCGAACACTTTACTCTACATGTCCAGTTTAAAAAGTCACAAAAAATACACTGTACGCTCTTACCAGATTCTGTAAAAAACAAAAAATTACGAAGCCATTAATGATTCAGTTGCGAGCAACAGTTACGTCGCAAAAATTCAGGATTTCTGCAGCTGGGCTTGGTTGAACTGCAGGCCGTGTTTTCACCGAGCAGACAAGTCAAGAATCAAATTAAAAATGCAAAAAGTCAAATATCTGTATCATGTAGAGTCACAGTTAGTTTGTCACCAGTGCTGGGCATTTGGAAAGGTGGTGTACATTTTGATTGGAGGTTTTTAGACATTTTTGTGTAGCAGATAATCAAACAAATTCAAGCTTCGTTTTTCCTTTTTCCATGCTTAATGGCGTTATAACTTTGTCACGCTGCACAGGAGAGATTTCTGAGTTCTCTCTTCTTCTAGTCGTGGCTGTTCTGTTTCCTTAGAGGTGCAGGACTTTATATTGCAGAGAAAAATGAACCCACACTAAGTAAAAAGGTAGAAGGAGCTGCTCAGAGGGTTAACAGTAACTGTGAGTCCTGTAAGCTCCGACTCGTCCTTCGCGGTATCTCCAGTGATGATTGTTTCTTCGGTTGTTGGCGTGTGGCTCATTGGTGTCTCTTTGTTCCAGATATCGGATGTGGGTGGACTCCTGCGCCGAGATGTTTGGTGGCCTCGACATCTGCGCTGTGAAGGCCGTCCACGGAAAAGACGGCAACGACTATATCATCGAGGTCAGTGTGTTTTTCGTTCGTGTAAGAACTCGCTGCCAGTTGGATACGCTGAATATTTTGCACATTTAGCACATTTTGGAAACACCAAATATGTGTCTGTAAATGCTCACTAGGATGTTGCAGGACTTTGCATATTCAGAATTCTTGGAGCGCTCTCGGACTCTTTGCGGGATTGCACGTCCAAACGCCGAGTCACCTTGGATCGGGTGTCTTTTCCTGCTGATAATACTTCATATCGCGGCGAACGTCAACAGGGAAAAGGGTGTAGCCGGCCTTGATTGCACATGATCGGCGGACCCTTGAAAGAACGATTATCCCGTAGACCAAACACAGGCAGCAGAACGAAAACAGCACCGAGAGTCCGCGGTTGACTCACTGTTTCTGCTAACACAGCCTGTTTATTTGAGTCCACGGGCAAAGCTTGGCACCCGACCTGTCCTGCAGTTTGTAGACAAATGAAATTGCCGTGGCGGGACCTGACACAACCAATTTGGTCGGAGGTTTTTGGGGTTTCGTTCCCCCCCGACTGGATGAGCACAGCCTCGGTTAGCTGCTAAACATAAACACAATCAAGGGCTGCGTGGTGTCACATCGACCGACATGTGTTCAAGCAGCGTTTTGATTTTATCTGTTGCTTTAAAACGTGACAAAAATCTTAAAAATTCTAGTAAAATAACCAAAAACAAAACATTTATAGACATTTTTATTATGCATTATGTGGAGAAATGCTGTAAAATACATTTTTTTCCTAAATTATTACAATCTAACACCTTTAAGGGTTAACACACGCTTAGGATTGTTAAATACAGTTGTGACTTGATAATCCGACCCTTAACAATCCAACAACCTTGCTATCCGACAGGTTTTTAGGAAAAATCAACGGAACCCATTAAAAACAGCCTTAACATAGCGACAGCCTTGGATTCTGACTCCGACATGACATTTTATGTCACCAATCAGGATAACGGCGTATTATCTGACTGAACAATCCCACAGATTGGCTACGTTCACACTGCAGGACTTGATGCTCAATTTGGATTTTTTTGTGAAATCCGATTTTCTTGTACGTTCGTTCACATTTCCAAGTAAATATGATTTGTATGTGATCTGCTGTGTGAACTTCATACGACCCAAAAGTGTCCCGCAAGTAAACACAGATGGTAATGGTATATTTCGGTCCTCTCCATAATTAAATTTGCATAATTCATAGAAATCCAATGACATTTTCTGTTTTTACAGTTTGTAGCTCTGATTATTTGGAGTAATGTTGTCGATTTTTTAAAGACAACACACCTTTCCAACCCACCAGAGTGTTTTTATGTTTAAAAGGTTAATATTTGGTGCCAAAAGTGTCCCTTCTTTACCTGAATTCATAAAAAACTGGTTCAAAATTAGACCATTCTTTCAGTTTTTGCAGTTTCTGGCTCTGGAGTTATTTTGACAGCTTTTCAAAGACAACATGCCTTTCAATCCCGCCGGCGTGTTTCGTGATTCAGAAGGTTAAAGATTACACCCGAGCAGGAGACAAACAGTTGCATCGGTTTTGTTTTTAGACCAGCTTCCTATGCTTTCCAATCTGAGGAAACAGGCTCCGTCTGGTGGGTCTGACGTTCCCATGTTTAGGCTGAGAGCATGACATCACCGCTCCCTCTATCTCCGCCGGGTGAGGTCAGCGGCCTCCGACTTTCTTTTTTAAACTCGTTCTATCTCAGGAAATATCTACCAGCTCCCCCGGGGGGACGTTTGGACGGAGAAGCCGGTGACACAGCCGAGCAGAAACGTCCGTCCTCCTCCACGTAGCCGCCTCTCTTTCTGGAATTTAATTAACCGCGACAGGGATGAGCTGTCGCTCCATCACGGTGGGAACCCGTCGCTCGGTCGGAGACAAAAGACTAACAGCCGTGACACCTCTCCCTAATGAAAAGTAATGAGCTGCCCAGAGGCTCGTCGTTAACAGTTTACTGCAGCTGCTTTTAACCTGAAGCCAGCTCAGCTTCACCAGTGGAGGGTGTAGATAACGGAGGCGCCGTTACGTAACACGACAACGTGATACGACGAACTCGATGACAAGTGACAGCAAAGCAATGCGACATGAAGACAGAAGAGTCGATCAAAAAGTTCAGAGACTGGTGTGGTGCACATAGAACAGGATAAAGATCAACTTTATTGATCCATCACTGGGAGAAATTTACATGTTGCAGCAGCTGGATGCAAAAAATGAGGCTTCAAAGAAGCAAAACAAGAAATGTAAACGTGCAATCAGGCTCAAAATGAAGCTAGAATTAAGACTATATGTATTTACATGGACAGAAATTGAGAGTTTTATGTAGAATATTAGTGCTACAGTTCTGCTGTTGTACTATTTAAGTGATTTTAATGAATTTTCAAGATTCTAAGCTCAGATTTGGATAATTTTCTCGACCACACAGCATGAAACAGGTGACTAGTTGCAGGACTCTAGGAAAATTTTTAATAAATCAACATTTTTTTCTGTTTTTACAGTTTCTGGCTCAGATAAATTGAGTAATTTTGGTCATTTTTAAGATATAATATGCCTTTTGCACCCTCCAGCCTGGTTTGGTGTTCAGAGGGTTAAAGAGCCGAGTGTACAACTTTGAAAATAACACATTTTTAAATGAGACACGTTTGATGAAGTGATTTTGAAGAAATGTCACGATTGTAAGTTTAGATTTGGATCATTTTTCCGACCAAATGGCACACAACGGATGAGTAGTTCTACGGCTGTAGAAGAGTTGGAAATACAACAATTTTTAAAATGTTTTTATGGTTTCTTATTTAAATGAACAGCGTAATTTTGGATAATTTTTCAAGTTTAAGAAGTTGTTCGAACCCACCAACCAATTTCGTGGTTCAGAGGGTTACACAGGTGTGTATTCTACTTAAAAAAACAACACAGGACTGTTTATTTTTGGCAAATAAAGTGGGTTTAAAGAAATATTACCATTTAAAACTTATCTTCTCGGCACAGATGATTAGTTCAAGGACTGTTAAAAAGCTGGAAATCCAACTTTTCTCTTTTTACAGTTTCTGGCTCAAATAAATGGTGTAATTTTAGTGATTTTTAAAACATAACATTCCTTTTTAACCCACCAACCAGTTTTAAGGTTCAGAATGTTAAAGAGCTGAGTGTTCTACTTTGAAAACAACAACAATTTTGGCAATTTTTAAATAAAAGACATGTCGAATAAAGTCATGTTTTCTATTTTCTAGCAGAGATGTGAAGTTCAAGAACCGCTGGAAAGTTGGAAATCCAATGATTCTGTTTTCTGGCTTGAATTAATGGTGTATTTTTGGTGATTTTTTAAAAAGATAAGATGCTTTTCAAACCCAGTGGCATGTTTGGACGTTCAGATGGTTGATCTTGAAGACATACGTTCATTTGACAGATTCAATATTTCACATAAAAGGCACACGTTACCTTCTTATGAAATAGGATGTATAGCTACAGATTAATGCCCTAATGCATAAGTGATGTAGTCCAATGATATCAGCTAATATAACACTCTGACTGAGGCCTTTCTGTGTCATGATTTTAGTTTGAGGCATGAAGGACTTGCAGCACAGACGACACAGAAACGTTTTGACACTTTGCAGTCAGGAAAACTGTGGCTCAGTGATTAAAGGGCACGACGCAACACCCGATACGAGCGCAGAAGTGACAGAGGAGCATCATAAAAGTGATTAATCTCCCAACAGGAAGGAGTTCAAAACGCTGCCGTCTCACAGCTCGAGTTGTTTTCCCAGGAGAGCGTCGACCCCTCGGCCCGGCGGCGTTCACGCGTTCTGAACTTTCCCATGCAGCCGGCCACGCTGTCCAGACAGCTGCTCGCTACGGGCTGCAAGAACAACACCTCAGTGTTCCAGCATCGTCGGGAAGCTCCCGCTCGATGACTCCGCGTCCTAATAAATCAGCAGGGTGGATCCCGGCTCCGCTCGCCACCGCCCGCCATTTGAAGTGGGGCCCGCCGCTGGCCGTGCCAGGCCTCCGCTCGGGCCCCTGTGGTCATGACTCAACCGGCCAAAACACCGAACCGCGCCCCGGCCCGCCTCGCCTCGCCGCCGGATCCTCGCCAAGGGAGCTGGGCAGAAAAAAAGGGCTTTTAAAGGGTTCTCTGGTCTGGGTCGTGGTTCTGCACGGAACAGTGTGAACCCAAACAGCTCTGACAAACAGAGACGAGGGGAAAAAAAAAACACAGGCAGGTGGATTTTTAAAGGCCTTTCAGTCGCTCACGTTAGTTTCTGCTTGTATTCTTAGAAATGGAGATTTGGATTGTCACTGAGGTTTGTGGGTTTTCTGACATTAAGTATAACGTTGGAAGGAACTTTTACCAGAAAGCGACTGTAGATCTCCTGGTGAGTTCTTACCCAAACACGTTTTATTGGATGTAACGTTTACATTCTCTGCTGAGTGTATAAAGAGCTCAACATGCTGCGATAAAACAGGAGTGATATTCCCATACAGTGCAGTGCTCAGTGACGTATTCTGGGTCAGAACCTTCATGTTTACTGAGTCCAAAGCTTTGTCTGCATCCGTCACAACCAATCTTCTTGTAAGAAACTTCACATGTTGTGTTGTTTTTTAATAAAAGATTAACTCTCGTGCAAGTTTTTTAACCCTTCTGAGCCGTAGAAGCAACAGATGAATTTGAAAGGCAAGTTGTCTTTAAAATAAATCGCCAAAATCAGAGCCAGAAACTGTTAAAAACTGAGAGAATTGTCAGATTTCCAACAGGCCTTGAACTACTCAGCTGCAACGTGCTGTTCCATTTCAAAAATTCTCCAAATCTCAGCTTAAAACTTTGATATTTCATCAAAATTAACTCATTCTACACTGAAAATAACAGAAAATATCTGTAATGTTATCTAATAATCTGTAAAATAATTATGTTTTTAGCAGATTTAAATTGTTTTAGGAGGTTTATGTACTTTAACAAAACACAAAAAACTGTAACGTAACTAATTGTTCAAAAAATTATAGTTAAAAATAAATTTAACAATTTAATCCTATTTTAATGTTTTGTTTGATTTTGTTTTGTTTTGTTTTTACAGTTTTTATATAGATTTCTCTTTATTTTTACAGTGTAGCTACAGCAGGCCTTCAGCTCTGCAACAGGACTGAGTGTCAGTGTTTGTCCGGTTCTGTGTTTACGTCCTGGACTCTCCTCGGTTCGGCCCGGCCCGGCTTGGCCCGGTGCAGCAGCCACACTGCTCCTCTGCTGCAGTTTGTTTTGGTGCTCAGACTCTCTGAGCTCCATGTGCTCTGTGGTTGTGCGGTGCACGTGAGAGCGCACGTGAGCTCCTGCGGTGGGAAAGTTTTGGTGTTTTTCTGTTGGAGGTTAATTGTTTGTGTGGCGACGATTTGATCTGAGCTCTCCTCCAGTCACGGGCCAGCAGCATGACGTTTACACACGGAGGCACGTTTTATCTGCTGCCCAGTACGACTGCTGCTACTGGTATCACTACTACTACCGCTGCTGGTATCACTACTACTACAGCTGCTGGTATTGCTCCTACTACTACTACTGCTGCTACTACAACTACTGGTATTACTCCTACTACTACTACTGCTACTGGTATCACTACTACTACTAGTCCTACTACCATCAGCATTACTACTACAGATACTCCTAAAACTCGTAGTACCATCAGTATTACAACTACAACTGAAACTCCTTCTACGACAATCCTACCACTACTAATCTTATTACTCTTACTCTTACCACTACTACTTCTTCTCCTCCTACTAAAACTCATGCTAGAAATACTACTACAGCTATGACTACTGCATCTACCCCACATGCTCCAACTATTGCCCCTACTACTACCACTCCTGCTACTAGTCCAACTCCTTACTTTGACTACTACGTCTGCTACTACTACTTCCACTAGTCTTGCTGCTTGTCCTACTCCTCCTACTACCATTCCTGCTACTACTACTACTACTACTACTACTACTACTACTACTACTACTACTACTACTAGTCCAGTCCTACTTCTACTATACCTATTACTCCTACTACTATTACTACTACCCCACTACTACTAATTCTCCTACTTCTACCCCCACTTCTACTCAAACTACTACTATTACTGCTCCTACTGTTACTTTTCCTACATCTCCCATTACTCCTACTTTTACTCCTGACACTACTACTCATCCTCCTCTTCTTCCTCCTCCTCCTCCTCCTCCTCCTCCTCCTCCTACTACTACTACTACTACTACTACTACTACTATTCCTGCTACCACGACTACTCCGACATCTACTCCTACTGCTAATACTATTCCTACTCTTACTACCACTATTAGTACTATTACTCCTAATTCCACTCCTACTCCTACTAGTACCCCTACTTGTTCTCTGAATGCTGCTACTACTTATCCTCATACTCCTACAACTACCACTACTGCTTCTCCTCCTACTACTACTGCTACTCTTACTACTTCTACTACTTCCTGCAGTACTACTACTACCTCTCCTATTATTAGTCCTACTAAAACTCCTCCTGCTACTCCTACTAATCCTACTCCTACCCCACTACTCCTAGTACTACTACTGCAGCCCCAGAGGACAGGTGAAGTCAACAGCACTCTGGATATTTTCAGGACCGTTCTATCAACCAGAGAGAACGTTCTCTCGTCCAAGTCCTGCCGCAGCAACATAATATTTACAGATGGAGCCGCACTGTATCTGCTGCTCGCTGCAAGTTCTAACTTTGGCTCCTCGCTGTCCCTGTGAGGGCGGCGCAGAAAAACAGAGGTTGGAAAGATTAGATTTGTGCGTCCAAATAGACCTGTTGAGTTTATCCAAAGCCTAAACGGGGGAGAGGTCAGCAGCTCGTAATATTTTTATCTCACGAGGCCTTGAAATGAAACTAAGAAGGCAACCGAAGCGTCTCTTTTTACCTCAGATCTTGTGGTTCGTTATTAGAGGAGGCTTCTTTAAAAGAGCCAAATGTGGTGGGACGGATGAGGGGCTTTCTGATGGGAACATGCAGAGCAGCCGCGGTGTCATGCTCAGTGCATCCGGCAGTTAACTGGATTTAAGGCTCGGGGTCGCACAGCTCCTTGGCCTCTGACCTCGACAACTGCAGAGCCGTTCATGTGATCTGCACAAAGTGACTCATCATTTCTGGCCGCGCACCAGCGAGTCCATTATCGCGGGCAACGTCTGGGGTCTGAGCAGGTCTCGGCACCGTAGGAGGTGCAGCGCTGCCATCTAGTGTTGGGTTTGTGCAGGTTCTGTTGGAGGCTGACTGTGGTGTCTCTGCAGGTGATGGACAGCTCCATGCCGCTGATCGGTGAACACGTGGAGGAGGACAAGCAGCTGATCACCGAGCTGGTCATCAACAAGATGGCCCAAGTGCTGCTGGGAGTTTCCACGCCTCAGCCGTCCTCCGTTAAGGTGCAACACGAGGAGACAAATCACAATAAAAACAACAAGACTGTAAACCTGGCAGCCAGTGTGCCAGAAACATGTTAGAAAGCAGTGAAATACTTCATATTAAAATACTGTGACAATAACAGCAAACATCTGTAAAATACACTTTTTTTTTTTATAGCAGATTTAAAAACAGTAAAACTGTGTTATTTTACAGTCAGACAGCTACTATTTCTAAAAATATTTATTTTTGACATTTATTTAGAATTTCGGCTCTTTTCATTTTTTACATTCAACATATAAATTAATACTTTTTTTCTGTGATTTTATCTGTAATTAAACACAAAAGGGAAAAGCTGTGATGCACCAGTTTAAAAAAAAAAAAAAAAAAGACATACCATTTTTATTACTCCATAGTTTAGATAATTTTTCTTTCATATAGACAGCAAACGTTTGTAAAACAATTATATTTTTTACTGAGTTAAATCCAGTAAAATTTTGCAGTTGCTCATTGTAGAAGAACAAATTACTACATTTGTAAAATTTGACATTATTTAAAGTTTTGATTTGTTTTCTTTTTTCAGTCAACTTATATATGAATACATTTTTCTGTGATTTTATTAGATATTATATGTAATTTACCTCCCAAGAAAAGAGAAAAAAAAGTGAAATAATGCTTTTAAAAATACTTTAGAAAACTATATGTAAAAAATACAGGCTCCAGGGTAAAAACTCAGTTGGTCTACCTGCATGAACATGATATTAAAATGAGTAATAAATACTAGAACTTCCTCAGTTTTGCTTAATTTCTCTTTTTTTGGCAAGAATCTGCAAAAAAAATAAATAAATCATGTCAAAGTGAAAGAGAAAACAGATTTGCTCCACGGTAATGTGAATTTATTAAAGGTAGAAAATGTCAGTAATTGCATAAGTAGTCCCCCTTTTAAAGTGATTCACTCAATTTATTCCTTGAAATAATGCTGTTTATGTTTTGCTGCATCCCTCCATACGCAGACCACACAGCCCAGACGAGGTAAGAAACCTGCTCATTACTCCAACTGTTGAACCCTCTGTAGTAACATATCCACAGTGAAGTAATGAATGTACATGTCATATGTGTATTTGTACTGCAGGGGGACGCTCTGCTTCCGCCTCCCCATCCCAGTCGGCCCAGGGATCTCCTCAGAGAGCCCGGTCGGCCACCACCTCCCCCAGCCAGGCCTTCCAGCCCGGACCCATCCCCGCCTCCTCCGGGCCTGGAGCTCAGAAACAGTCGCCACAGCTGAAGTAAGTCGTCCACGCTGGAGTCCTAATGACATGTTTGTCCAAGCGTTTTTTGCTCCTGTCGCATTTTTACTCTGTGTAGGTTCATTTTTCACTGCAATATAAAGTCCTGCAGCTCTATGGAAACAGAACAACCATGACTAGAAGTGGAGAACTACGCAGAATGACAAAGTTATAATGTCATGAATCATTAAAACAGGGGAAAAAAAGTTGAGTTTCTATGATAATTATTTTTTAATATCATCTATCTCTTATCTTTATAATTATATTTGACATTTTTCTAATCTCCTGCTGTTGTAAAAATGTTGAAAAAAAGACACAGGGACTCTTCATGCTACAAGATGTTTTGCTAATTACAATTTTAATTTGTTTCCATACTCGTCTTCTATCTGCTCGGCGTAAACACAGCCTGCAGTTCAGCCGAAAAGTCCTTGATTTTTTTCTCATATGACTATTGGTCGCAGCTGATTCACTAAAAGCTTTATGGTTAAGTGCACATAATTGTAATTTTTTTACAGAATCTGGTTAATGCAAATCATTCGTTTTGGGAAAATTATTAAATGAGACATGTAGAATAAATTAATTAAGGTTAGGTTTGGTTAATGTTCCTGAATGAACCGCAAGCGATTAGTTCAAGGACTGTAGGAAAGTTGAAAGTTTGACAATTCTTTCAGTTTTTACAGTTTCTGATTTTGCTAGATGATGTAATTTTGGTGATTTAAAAAAAAAAAACAATAACATACTTTTCAAACCCACTTTTAGGTTTTGTGGTTAAGAGGATTAACCCTGATTTAACCCTCCTATTATCTTTGGGGTCAGTTTTATTCCATTAACGTCTCTAAAATAAGTCACTGACATAATTTTTCAGTTCTCTTTAAAGGGCTATTTACACATAAATTTGGGCAACAATTTTAATTCTGATATTTTCTGGAGGTTTAAATTGCTGGGGTCAAATTAAACCCAAGAATAAGAGATGTCAGTGAATCTGAAGGTAATCGGAGGGTTAAGGGGACATTAGTCAACAGTCAGGATGAGGGATTGTCTTTGCATCTGAACCTTCTTCTGTGACTGTAGCAGCTGAACCGTTGCTCTCTGGACTCCACAGCAAATCCCAGTCGCTGACCAACACCTTCACGGAGACGTTACGAGGAAGCCTGACCGACGACGAGGCCAAAGCCGAGACCATCCGCAGCCTCCGACAGTCCTTCGCCAGCCTCTTCTCCGACTAGAAACCATCCCCAGCAGCTTCCTCGTCCTGTCAGTCGTCAGGTTTTAAAACAAAAAACCACAAAAAAACAAGAAACCCAACTACTTAATCTGTTATGGAGTCGCCTCTCTCCTCCTAACCTCAACCTTCTCCATGTTTGTGACGTTTAACACCTGGTGCAACCCCACTGTCCTCAGACCAACCATCAATCTATCACTAGAAAGGCCAACAAGGGGAACGGCTCGAGATAGACGTCAAACTTTTAAAAAAGAAAGAGTTTTCTTTCTTCTAGGATATACTGAGAGATGCCAGTGAGCGTAGGTGCAGAAACAAACCAAACTCCATTCATTTTTCCGCAAATTTTACAGTTTTCTGTTATTTCTTGGCTGTTTATGCCACTTAGGAACCATAAGTCTGTGTCTTTTTCCACATTTTCCTCCTTAAATCCATCATCTTTTGTGTTTTAATGAAGCTGCGGAGTCCACGTTAGAGAACCGATGCTATTTGGTGCTGTTAAAGCTATGAAGCATCCAGAGAAGAACCTCGCCTGGCCTTTCTAGTGGTAAATTATGTCCGTAAGTAATCATATTCTAGCTCGTACTGCTTGGTATATAATCGTTATTCTGCATTCTCTTCGTCCAACCGGTGAAACTGTTTCTGTGTGTTCATACTTCTTACACCTATTTGCATCTATCTTTTAATTGACAACGCAGCTTCCAAAATAAAAAAATAAATAAAAAATATAAAAAATCGAGACATCTTACGGCAATATCCGCCTGACTCATGAAGAAAACGAATCCTCACGGTTCACCAGCGATCTTCTCGAAGCATCTCAGCCAGCAGACGCATTTCTCAGACATCCGTGTGCTGTAAGACGCATATTGGCTCCTCTACCTTGGCCTAACATTTTACCAAAGTGCTTTTTAATAAAACATAGAAAAAAAAAACAATCCCCCTCCTCCCGTCCCCGTCCCCGTCCCTTCCCTTTCCTCCTTCACGTCCTGCACTGGGTCAAGAAAACAGCGAGAACCTTTGCGAGTTTTTACGAGGTGCAAACGCTGTACTGGTTTACAGCCGTCGTCTTCCATCCCAGCTCAGATCTTCCCCTGCAGTTTTTTTTCTTGATGTCTCGTGATAGCACTATGAAGTGTTCTGGGGATGAGGGGGAGGGGGATTTGTACCATAACTTCTACCGCTGGGTCTCTGAAGGCAGAACAGTGAGGATGTTTTGAGACTTAGGATAAATTTCCACCGAGACAGAAATGGTTTTTAACATCCTTTATCTCGATTCCCTACAAGCAGCAGTCATCGTATTTTTTTTTGTTGGGTGGGTGGGGAAGAGTCTGCAGCAGCTGGATCATACACTCATGTATGTGGTGGTGGGAGCAGACTCGTGCATGTAAGTGAATGTTGTACGTAGAGTCAAACTGGTTTCTGACAGAAAACCAACACATGATTTTAATTTGTTACCATTGTAGGGTAGCTGTTCTGTGGGAACTCTCATCCATTTCTTAGGACGTTCCCTGGAAAGAGAAATGGTTTTTAGTTTAGATTATAGTGACATTACATGATAGAGAAAGTACCTAGGGCCTATTGTAGATGGAATGTGTAAACACAACGGAGCCTTGAAAGAAAAAGATTTAATCGATAAAAAAAACAACGACAAAGTTCCTTTTTTTGTTCTGTGAGAGTTTTTATTTATTTGATTTGAAGAGTGCCATATGCTACAACGTCTTCTTTTACCAACTGTCTTAATTTTTTTCCTATAATTAGCACCAAAATATGTCTATTTATGAGTAATTAGGAAACTGTATTGACGCTAGAGTACGTTTATTTTTCCCAAAAAAGTCCCTCGGTGAAACTGTTGTCGCGTCGAGCTTCACGCGGAAGCAGACGGGCTGCGTATTTGGCTTTCCATGCAGAGCACAATCACAATCTGATGATCTATAAATTGGTCCTTTTGCAGGAAATGGTCTAGATGCCTGGTAGTTAGCTCCACAGTTATATTTATCCCCCGTCTATTTAATTAATGATGTGTACAAGAAACGGAAATTACTGACCGTGGAGGGTACAAATAGGATCTTTGAATGTCTGTGAGCAGTATTCAGGAGTTAAAAAAGGACCTTACATGATGAGTAATAATAAAAAAAAACACTAATAATAATAACAATAATGGCCCCTGTTTTATGGTAAAGATTTATTCAAATGCATGAAGGTGTATAAAGTTTTGTAGTGGTGTGTGTGAGAGTGTATGTGAGTCTAAAGTTGTAAATTTGCTATTATTATTATTATTATTATTATGATACTACCACAAAAAATAACTTTTTTTTCCTTTGCAATAATTGTATTATAATAAGTTCGACACCGTTTTGATTTTAACTATGAAACTTGACACTTTAAGAGAAGCTTTTATTTTTTAACCAAACTTTTATTTGGGACTTTGCCTTCTTGTGTCATTGGTGGTAACATTTAAAAAAGAAAAACGAAAGAAGCGGGTTTACTTTTACAAACAGTCTCTCTGGAGGCAGAAATGATCTGATTGGCTGCATTTATCAGCAGTGGGCGGGGCTACAGAATCACAGGTGCTAGCTTAGTTACTGCAAAACAGTGGGTCCGTATTTACAGATGCAGCAGAATTCAGCGAGCATGAGGACAACTGCTTATACGCTGTAGCTGGTTAGCTAATTATGCCAAAGCTGGTTCAGTGAGTTGATTGAATTTTAGTTTTTAGACCCACTAATGCTTGTGTTTGTCAGTTACAATTAAGTAAGGTTAGTGATTTGACCGGTTAAAAACATATCAATCAATAAGGCAAAGAGAGATGCCGTTTAACTGTCAGAAACTCTGTCGATTTGATGTAGTTCCTCGCTTTACCACCAGGTGGAGCCTCTCACTGTGTATTGAGACGGAGTTCCAGGTGTGTTTGCTGACCGCCTGTACTTGTTGCATTAAACAAACACACCTCCCTGCTGTCTGACTGCTAACTGTGGCAGCAGCGTTGCTGAACTCTGCAAATGTCAAGTTTTGAAAAACGTTTTGCTAGCTACTGCTAAGCTAACACTAAGCTAGGATTTTTGAATGCTAACTAGAGCTAGGTGACTATCAGCTGCCTTAACCAGCATTTAAAACTAGTGATGAAGTGTGTCGGTGATGCTCTGCTCTGAGTATAAACACAAATATCTACAGATTGCCTGGACTGGTAAAGTTGCTGCAACAGTATTTGTGCACATCTGTTCTAGCTGGACTAATGTAAACTCCAGTAAAGAAGAGACACCATCACGTAGATTAGGTTTTATCAGCGTATGAAGAAACGTTCACTGTATTTATTCACTTTAACAATAAGTTATTGATTGTTAATGTGGCTAACCATCACTTAAGGACATTGTTTACAGTTTGCATCCCGAGGACCCACTTGAAAAAAACTCCACTCTCCAAGAGTCTTTGTATTTGCAGTATTGCTTTTACGACCCTGTACAGGAATCTTTTACAGCCATTTACATCTGTCATTCCCTCCTGCAGTCATCGGTTGTCGTATTTCTGCCTCAGAGGGCTGTTTGTAAAAGCAAACATTCAAATCTGCAACCGGCTTCGTCTCTGAGTCAATGCAATCGTTTGTCATCGAGCACTTTTGCAAGCATTTCATAACCTTTGGCACTGTGTCAAAAAGGACCAAATTAGGATCTCGTCGCGAGACCCCCGTGAAGGTTGGACTCATACTGTTGTGTCTTTATTGTAGAGAATATTACCACTTTGTGCGTAATACTGCAGTGCGATAAGCCATAACCAAACCATGAGGATTTACTGTCCCTTATGTGCCACGCAATAATGGCTGTGACATCACTGATAAACTGACATATTGATCACTGTGTCCGTGGCCTGTCCTGCCCCGCAGAGACACACAGCAGTTACTGTTTTTTGATTTTGATTTTAAAAAAAATTTTAAAAAAACCGAGATACCGCAGAGTTTAATTATTTGCTACTAGTCTTATCTGCCAGGATGAAAGATAAACCTTGATGTCACTTTTCTCAGTTTTACCGCACTTTGGGTTTAAAATGCAGTTTAGGATCTTGCTGATGCCATACGTACGCTCATCTGTTCGGTCGGATGGTAACCAATGACCAGATGTCAGCACAGATTTGCTCGTTTTTTTCCTCACTCGGCTGCTATAGCTCGACACACCTGATGTTATTGTTTTTGACTCAATTGGAACTGAGCTGCAAAGTTTACTAGTAACTACCTCAAGTTGAGCAGTGCTCTGCAGAAACTGACTACAGAGTGGTAGTACTGGACAAGATTTTGTGAAATGAGCACAGCATCCTCCACCTAATAAAGCTAATGTGGTGTCTGTGGCGTCAACGTGAGGAAGATCAGCGTCTAGATTTCCTGCAGCATCCAAGTGGAGGCAGAATAATGGAGTCTGTCTAAATGCTACCCGGTCACTCCATAAACACCCTCTTCTTTAAGTCTTAGTGTCCCCTTAGTGGAAATATAATTACTTTCAAGGTTCTGAGCACCAGCATCTAAGGCACATTGGCCACACCTCCTCGTCCCTTCGCATTTCATTTACAACCAGAAACGTTATGTACAGGCCAACAAAAAACAACCATTAAATCATAAGTTTATCTTGTCTGTTCCGCTCTGTGTATATCTGTTTCCACGGGTGGTCGGACCAACCGGAGCAGACCCGGTCCATCCACCAGTTTGTGGAAACACACAAAGAACCGAGGGAACACCAGAGGTCCATCCATCTGTTCATGTTCTTCTTCTTGTCTGAGATCTTGCCTTGGTGACAGCAGGTTAAGCCGGGCGTTACAGCCATGGTTTACTGTTCCCATACCCCGGGGTCTCTTTCCAGCTGGATGTGCCCACAGATACACCAAAGAGTCCCAGGCAGCATCTTAATCAGTTGCCTGAACCACCTAAGCTGGCTCTGCTGCCTCCATGGTGGCTTGTGTCAGTAATCTCATTCTTTTGCCCAGAGCTTATGACCATAGGTGAGGGTTGGAGGACAGATCGACTAA